TCTAATATTTTGCAGATGTGCCTAGAAATTCATCTACTTTTAGATGATGTTAAAAATTTTATAGGTTAAAATACAAATTTTTCTCGAAAAATTTATAAAAAATATTTAAAAATACAACTTTTAAAAATAAATCATAAAAAAATGCGCGAATGATATTTGGATTAATCCTAAATTTCGAATTCTGCAAGAAAGAATACAATAAGTTTAATAAAAATTAGAGATATTAATAAATATATATCAAATTCAATTAACATTGAGGAGCTGAAATTTTGAGAGTTAATTTTTTAAAAAACTACTCGTGCGATTGTTACAAAACTTGGCAGTTTGGTCTACATTGATTGTCATCACTTAAATGTATCACATTTGACTTATTTATATACCAAATGTAGCATTTTAAATACTGCCCAAATGCATATGTGATAAACAGTACATATAATTCACTAATATAGTATTGATTTATGTTATAAGAGTGTTCATATGTAATACTGTGTTTTTCAAAATATCTTGTAAAAGAAAATAATATGTACTGAACAACAGGCAATGTAACTGATTTCCGCAGAAATGATGTTCAATTCCGTACGGCAAGAACTAGGACGGATGTCATCTTCGCGGTGTATAGAACGGGAGATATAAAACTGTCCCTTTTTTTCCCGCAGTATACCTTTTCTCTTTTAAACAAAATATACAAAACTTTAAATAGAAACATGATTCTTTAAATATAATATGATAAAATTTTCGAGAAAAAACATATTGAATGAAGATTTATCTCTTAAGGAAAGCAATAAAAATGAATTTAAAAAAAATCTCTTTGTATGGTAACTTCTGAAAACAACGCTTCCTTTCATAAACCAGCTAGCTATTGAAATATTGATTTATAAGATAATAGCTAAATATATCAACTAATTAATTATTACCACATCATCTTCTAGGTATAATTTCGAAGCTTACTTTTCAAATTTCAAAACTAATGGCCAATTACAGGTATACTATTAGAATAATCTATTGTCATGGCTGAATTCTGTCAGCTATAGTTTTAGTTTAAGAAATGGAACAATGCGGGGAAGATAAATACGGTGAGTAAGATGAAAAGCAACCACAACAATTTGTTTATAAACCAAATATTTTATGTATTGTCACTGGCAGGTCAACGAGAATTATTATGGAACCTCGACTATTTTCTCTAATATTTGAAATTACTGACGGTTCATGGAAACCAAACGCTTATAAACGCTAATTTATATTTCCGTTATTAAACTGACAGGCAACTTATCAGTCTTAGGGAAACAAGTTTGACTCTTAAGTAAGAGTTATCCTTCTTACTAAAACTTTATTATTAAACTTTAGAAATGCGCAGACCGTGCTTTACAAAACCAGTGTCCACTACATGCTGGATTCAAATTAACGTAAATTTTAACGTAGCATTCAAAGTAACGGAGGAAATTCACAAAACAAATTTCAAAAATAAGCTTTGGATCGTGATATTAGATGCGCGAGTAACACAGCTATCAAAAGCCTAAAGCGGATTTAAGCAATTCTTATAGCTGGGCGAGAAATATCACGATTCGCTTCCAAAATTCACTCTCCCTAACTTCAAGAACTCTGCTCTTATGTACATGTTAACTAATTTAGGTTCCGGTGGGCGCCGATGAAAGTAGAAGTGACAGTAAAGATAAAACTAACAAGATAATAGGTGAATTAACATAAAAATCTTAAACGAATCTTACGAAATTTTTCTCACAGCCGCTTTGAGACCTTTCCGTAGAATTCCAGGAGGATTTATTTTGTAAATAATTATGCTGGAATCGAGGAACGGGACAACCATAGCTCTCATACAGAACATCAGTAGAAACACTTTTAGGGTTTAGGGGAGTAAGATTTTGGCCTGTTTCAAACTGAACTTTAACGATTTCTTAATATCCCTTACTGAAAGTACCGTTTTTCAGCATTATTCGTGAACATTTTTAAGAATTTCTCTCTGCAACCTAATGAATTCTCCATACAAATTGCATTTCGTCATCTTTCGAGGAACAATCGACATTTCATAACATCCATTACTAGACTGCAACGAGCAACAAATTTGTTCATTCAGCGGATATCTTTAGTGTTTATTGAAAAGAATGTCTAGTAAACAGTAAAAATTAAAGGAGTTCTTTCAGTTTGGGACTGGCTATGATTCATGTACTAATGACTTGGCTGCTGATCATCATCACAAACTTGTTGAACCGTTCTGTAATCGTTTTAATCGTGTGGAAATGTTTATGGTCTTGATTGCGACGATTTGTTCTTCTTTGCTCTTTACACATCTCAGAGCATTTTTATATAACAAGCCTAACGTTGCTTATAACTGGAAAAAATATAATGTTTTTACAGATCAAGTATTTGTTAAATTTTGTATAAATTTTTAATATTTTGTTAAATTTTGTACATTACTTTATTGTCAAAAAACATTCCAGTGCCATGGATAAGTGTACTCTTCCAAAGTGTGTAATCCTCAAAATTTTTTGTTGCAAATTAAAATTTATGATTCTAATGTTAGTCATATATAAAATATATGTAAAATCCTTTATTAAAGATTAGTAAAACTTCAAAAAATTTAATCAGTCTGTATAACACTAATATAAATTCAAAATTTATCGAAGACAAGTGTTTATTTCATAGATAGAAGAAAACGAGATGTAAATACATCTGGCATAAACGGAGAAAAAGGGCAATTCACGCATCATTCATATGGCCATTATGGCCACCAAAGTAACAACTATGCACATTATGGCCATGAAACGTATGTCACTGGAGCAATAGATAAAGATGGTGTCTTACGCAATCAAAGGATAGCCCAGCGCCAGGTAAGTGATTCATTATTTAATAATGAAATATAAAAAATATACTAATTAACAAAATTATGTATATTTCAAATGGTAGATTGTAATAAAATGTATATTAATCTTCTAAACAGATAAATTTTGATTCAGAAACTGAGTTTATGGTAAATATATCGAAGCTCTATCGCATAAATTTCAATATTTCCTCTTAAATGATTATGAAATCAATCTGTATCAAGTTTCTCACAGCCTTGTTAGTAAAATTATCATTTTTTAAAAATTCGTATGAAACAATATTACAATTTTTTTCAAAATCTTAATCTTAGGAGATTTAAAGAGTTATTTAGGGAGAGAAATATGTAACGCCATAAAGCCGTTTTTGTTCCATACGTTGCTTCGAATCTAAATATTTAAGGTATTTCTATTTTTTATTCTGCAATTTGGAGAATGTTTTTGCATTTATCAGGCTTTCAGAATAGAGTTAGTCAGCATATGTTTTTATGATTATCACTGTGTATAAAACTGCAGTTAAGAGTTTTAAATAAATGTTGATTGCTGAAATTAAATTTGAAAATAATTAGGAAGATAAATACTAAAATGATAAATGTTTTATTGCTGAAACTTTTGCATTAAGAGATGGAAAATGAAAATAAACTTCAGTTTTATACACAGTGATAATCATAAAAACATATGCTGACTAACTCTATTCTGAAAGCCTTATAATGCAAAAACATTCTCCAAATTGCAGAATAAAAAATAGAAATACCTTAAAGATTTAGATTCGAAGCAACGTATGGAACAAAAACGGCTTTATGGCGTTACATATTTCTCTCCCTAAATAACTCTTTAAATCTCCTAAGATTAAGATTTTGAAAAAATTTTAATATTGTTTCATACGAATTTTTAAAAAATGATAATTTTACTAACAAGGCTGTGAGAACTTGATACAGATTGATTTTCATAATCATTTAAGAGGAAAATATTGAAATTTATGCGATAGAGCTTCGATACATTTACCATAAACTCAGTTTCTGAATCAAAATTTATCTTACGTGTTGTATTTTTAAAGGTACGAACAGAGAGTACGGATTCTTCTCCAAGAGCAAGAAATGGTATGCAAAGCAGCAGAACTGATCAAAGAATAACAGCAATGAGTCCATCCAGTCAACACTTACTCCCACGGATGCAAGACAGTATCGATCAGAATATTGTTAACAACTTAGGTACTACCGGTAACGGCCATTTTTCTCTTGAAACTGCTCAAGAAAGTGGATATCAACTAAATTTACCTTTAGGTTTGAGAGCTGGTAATGCATATCGTGGAGGTATACGAAGTCAAGGCCGTTATGGAGTTGGCGGATCTCAACCACAAATAAGCACCGACTTTCAGAAATATCCGGCTAGACAACCAGATCTGACTGTAGGATTTCCAGGACAATTAGCTTCAGGTCTTCCAAGGTCTTACCAACCTGGTGTTATGCAAACTGGAATCCAAGTGCCGAGTCATCACCTGATAACTCCTTCTAGTCAGATACTACCAAGTAGTCAACTTCCCATAGGCAGCGTTTTTCAACCCGGAATATCGCAAACTGCTCATCCGAGCGTAGATGTTCGAGGAGGAGTTCCTAGCTTTGTTAAACCAGACGACAGCCGTCTAACAATTCCAGGGCAAGTACCAGCGTATCAGCCTGGGGTAATCCCTCAAACTCAAAAACCATTTGAAGCCGATTATAGGGTAGGAGCCACTGGGGATTTAGGCTCAACAGAAGAACATATAAGAGGCATTCAAAGGAAAATTCCATCTTTAGAAGCTGCAGGACGTCAAGTAATGGGTCGTGAATCTGGATTTGGTGCACAAATACCAGGCATTCAGATGCCAGATGGCCTCCCTGGATTACCACAGACACCGCGATTTCGCTATCCAGAAAAACCTCAAGTAGTTGATGAGAGTCTACCTGGACGAACAATAGCCAGTCATCCTAGTTTTACTCCTGGAAGTTACCACAAAGTCCAAATACCGTCAGGTTATTTGCCTGCAGTTTACCTAGTGCTCCTGTGACCTCAAAGACTCAACCTCCTCCAACCAGCCCTCAAGCGTTACCAGATTTACTACCCTCAAGACCACATGAACCTGGTACAAGGTTGACTGAGGGTCATATATCATCAGGAACATCCTGGGGTATGCCTTCAAGTATTCCAGGTGGGTTACCTCAAACTGGTAGAGAGTTCCCAGAGAGAGGAATAAGAGGAACTATTCCTGGCCAAATTGGAGACTTTCCTCAATACTACACAAGAGATGACAACTTCAGGAGCGTTCCGACGAGTCTTGCTATACCCGGACAATATCGAGAACTTACAGGTGTTGCGCCCGGTGATTCAAGATTTGTGCCTTCTGTTCGAACAAGCTCTGTTCCAACTGATGCCAGAAGTTGGCTTCCGGGAAATCAACAGCCTACTGTTTCTGATTCTAGAGTACCTCCTGATTATGTTCCACCGCGTATGCCTTATGATTCAGCGAGTGGTTATCAAATTTCTTCCCGAGATGCGAGAGTGTATCCAGGAACGTTTCAGCAAACTTCAGATGCTGTTATTGGTCGCCCAGATACTGCCGATAGGTTAGTAAGTGAAGATACTGCATCGTCCCAAACTCAAGTTCAAACTGGATACGAAGGCACTGCGGCAGAAGCCTCTTCTGCTGGTCGCTATCGTGGGCTAGGTTCTCAGACTCAAGTGCAAGGTGGTTACTCAGGTAATGGATCATTTTCTGCTCAAGCACAGTCTGGATTTACAGGAGGTGTGACACAAAGTCAAGTAAGAGGTGGAAGGCAGGGTGGTCTATCTGGCTCAAGTGCTCAAGTTGAAAGAGTAGGTTCCGCTCAGAGCCAGGTTCAGGTAGGTCAACCAAGTGGCGCAGCAAGCAGTAGTGCTCAAGGAAGGTTTTCTGGCGGCACGACACAAGTGCAAGCTCAGAGTGGTGGAACAGGTGGTAGCGCAGGGGCACAAGCGCAATCAAGTGGATTAAGTAGCAGCCAAGCTCAAGTTAATGTAGGAGGTGGGGAAGCCACTCAAGAAAGCGGCTTTCAAGGAACAGTATCAGCTTCTTCTCACGGAGGCTATTCATCTGGGCAGTCACAAACACAACTTCAAGGCGGATTCGATTCCGGCAGAACGTACGTTGCAACAGCTCAAGGTGGCTTTGATTCAAATTTAATATTTCAAGGATCAGTGCCTCAACCTGGATCAATCCCCAGTTTTCCTCTTCGAGTAGGTGGTACCGAAAGTTCAGCAGCTCCAGGCTTTGTTTCAGGACAAAGAGAATCAACAGTTAATGGTTCTGTAACAGGCATTTCAAGACCATTAGAAACAGGTATTTCGAGACAATCAGAAATACGTACTTCAAGAACACAAGAAACAGGGCAAGTCGGAACACAACAAGGTTTGTTGCCACCCTCAGAAATGTTTCCTTACCCGTCTGGCTACGTACCTGCAGGAGGAAGAAGAGATTCATATTTACCTGGAAGAACTAGTGAAACTGATAGATCTGGCGTATTGAGTCGACCCGATATTCCACAGGGTCGGTTGTCTGGTAGTTCAATCCCTTCTCATTTAACAAATTTGCAAAAACCAGGTGTATTACAACCCGGGATTCCAATGACAGATTCAAGGCAATTAGGATATTTACCTGGTAGAATTCAACAGCCTACTCATGTACCATCTTTTGCAAGGCCAGAATATGAATCTCCTGTCTCACGACCTCTTTCACAATTACCTGCATCGCTACAATCTGGATATAAGTTAGACTCAGAGCAGCGCCCTTTTCACATACCAGGCCAAACACAGACAGAATTACAATCACATTTAATACAGCCTTTACCTCCATTACCATTGCAGCCGACTTCAAAAACTGACAGGACCCAAATTCAAAGCCGTCCTAGTCTTTTGGGCCCAGGGCCAATATCTAGTTTACCTACTGGTACGCAACCTAGTTACCCACCTCATGGGATAGGTTCGGGTGGCATCTTAATACCGGGTTATTTACCTGATGGTCATCTTCCAGGACAAGTTCCTTATCCCAGCCATTTGCCTGGTATGGTGCAACCACGACAATTTCTTCCACCTGGTTATTTGCCTAGTGTTTCACAAGTAGACAGAGATTTTCAACCTCCTGCGCAACCCTCACTTTTATCGCCAGACTTTCATCGTCAGCCTCGTCCGGATTTAAGACAGCCAGATGGTGTACAGCCCGGCATTTCTCAGGTACCTGAACCACAGATTTCTCCACCAAAGCCTTTAGAGACATATTTACCGGCAAGGCTGCCCGGTATCCCTCAAATACCTTCACTGATACCAGAACCACAGATTTCTCCACCAAAGCCTTTAGAGACATATTTACCGGCAAGGCTGCCCGGTATCCCTCAAATACCTTCACTGATACCAGAACCACAGATTTCTCCACCAAAGCCTTTAGATGATGATTTATCAGCTAGGCCACAACCTAAAAGAACGATAACGCTTCCAGAGTCATCAACAAGGCGAACAATAGTTCGTCCATCTCAAATTCCAGGCGTTCCAGAGCCTGACGCAACAGACGAAGAAAGTTGTTGCGAGGCTTTGAAGAATCTAAGAAGACGATGCTGCGACAGAAGAACCGGAACACAAAATGGAAGTTCTTGTTGTTCTTCTAAAGCAGGAAAAGGTAGACCAGTTGTCGATATAGATGATGACTTTGACAGTGTTGGCGGCGAAGAACCGTGCAAAATTGTTAAAGCTATTTGCTATATTGTTTACAAACCTGTTGGAAAAGCAAGAGTTTGCAAACCTACGAATACAAATGGATGTTGATGATGATATACTAGGTAACATGCTAGAGACAGAGATACGTTTGTGTTGATTAATCATTCTAAACCATTTTCTTGATAATGAGCCTTTGAATTACCAAACCATTGTATTGTTATATTGTTGCATTATCCTTTTTAAAAATAATTCTATAATAAAGTTATGAAATTCTTTCGAAATTTTATTCAATTTTTATTTATATTTCATTAAGGGCTTTTTAAACTAAAGCATCTATAAGCAATTGCGAATAAATAAGGAACGACTAAAGGTTTACATTGTTCTATAATAATCATTTTAAAAAACCGTAATGAAACCGCGAATATCATAAAAATGTCATGTGAAAAGAAACACATAAAAAATTCATAAAGGAAAAATAATCTTTCTTAAAGTATATTTCCAAAGCTAGAAAAATAAAAGAATTAACTTTAATATTATAATCATTTTTCATCTCTTAACATTCCTATCATGAACACACAAAACGAAACAAAACAGTCTGCAAGTTAAATGATCGCCCAATATCAGTATAAGAGGTAGAGATGGCCGAGATGGAATAGCAAAACATTTTATAGGATATTATATGAAATTAATTCATATTAAAAAGTAAAAAATAATATTCTTAAGAACTGCATTTGTTGCTTTTAAATAGCTTTATTTTAATCAATGATAGATAGATTAAATTTGAAAGATCAATATCTTATATTTTGTCGAATGATAACAGACTCGAATGAAAAGTGAAACAACGCATTTGTAGAGGGCGACATTTAGAGCGAATAAATGCAAAATTGAGTTTCGAGACTAATATACCTTTGGGATGGGGGAGGGAAGGAAAGAAAAGAAAAAGAAGAAAAGAAAAAAGTAAGAAAAGATGAAAGGATTGAGATTTTAACGCACCAGAGGACTTCTTAAGGTATTATTATACTGTCGCTGAGCATCACAGATTACCAATCCGCTTTGGATTCACTTTTGCTAACACTATATTTTTGTCTTTTTAGTTTTGCTATTAAGTATGGATTTCATCTCTCTTACGACACATAAAATTAAACAGCAAAGTCACAGGATATTTTAAAACATCATATGGAGGGGATTGCCATATTTTTTTATATTTGTTATATTATTTCTTTGAAAATTGCTGCTTGAGCGGTCAACCGCCTAAAAGTGTATACAGTTTAACTCCAATTACCCGAATCATTGGGGACCTGACCCCCATTCGGATAATCAAAAATTCGAATAATTGGATTTTTCCGAAGAAAGGGGCTACGCACACTTTAATTAATTATTGTACGTATTGCATGTTGAAAATGGCAGAAGAAAACTATTTTTTAAAAGGGATTTTTTAATTAATTAAAATGAAAAGGCAACAGTTTTACGTACATGTTATATAGCGTACTCTACAGTACTCATAAATGCTGAAAGTCAGTGTTTGCTGAACAGTTTGGTCAAAGTAAGCTGCTTGACTTTCTTCATCTGTTTTCGGGCAGCCATGTCGCGCATCCACTTGACAATGAGAAGTTGCGTGTGGTCACACTCAAGCCGATACTCCATCCAATTCATTTTCAACGCAATTTCGACGCCGGCAAACGCTTTACTAGCTGATGGTCTCGTGTCTGCTTCAGCTTCGACATTAAGATCATCTTCTTCCTCGACAATTTCAATAAGTTCACCATCATTTAGAATTTGAAACCCAGGGTCTGACGAATCACACATCATCCATTCTGCTGTATCCTCATTACTATCTTGGAACACCCAGGAATTATCAAAAGAAAAAATTTCTCATAAAACACGTCATCCTCATCTTCTCCTGTCTCTTCTCTTTCCTTTTCTTGAGCTTCTTTTTCCTCTTTCTCCTTTTTCTTCTCTTCTTCAGTTGGTTCTGAAAAATTCTGAAAGTGATTCGGATAATCAGCGCTTCAGATAGTCGGAGTTCGGATAATTGGAGTTGCACTGCATAACACTGTATAATGATTGTAATGACTCCAGCTAGTGTCATTTCATGAAATTATTTAACGTTTCTAATTATACACCTCAATTTAAATGCATTTTTATTTAAATCAATCAGATTAAAAAGCCGAAAAAAATAACTTTCAGAAATGAGTTTATTGCTTTTCAATCACCTGGTTTATTACTCAGTCACAGAAGTATTAAATTTAAAAGCTAAATATCTTATGCTTTACTGAACGGCAACACGCTGTTGGGTGGAGATATTAAGTATTCTATTGGAGGCAGTGGTAGCACTTTGCTTTCAAACAGACGAATTTGTGAATTAAAATTGAAAGATAAATGTCTTACATTTTGCCCAATGGAAAAAAAAAATTGTTTTTCGAAAAGTGTTGCCACTTATAGTTTTCAAATCGCTGAGTTTTATTAAATAGAAATTCGTTAGATTTGCTCAAATCTAAAACAAATTCAAAATTTAAAATTCGAAATTCGGGCTTCGAGGGGCCCATGTTCGGGTGGAAGATACGTGTATGAAAATTTCGCTCTAAGTGCCGTCGTTTTTTCGTAATGAGAGAAACATACATACAGATTCTCATTATTTAATTTTATTTTAAACAGCACATCGCGATGATATTTGGTGGCAAACAATTTAAAAGTGATTCGGACAACTGAAAAGTAATTTGGACGCAAAAGTGATAAGGACAAGAAGTTAAATTTGAAACTAATAGCACCTGCGGTGCTAAAAAGAGGAAAACAGAGGGGGCTACGAACTTAGTGTTATTTTTTATTGTAGGTTTAAAGGGTTAGTAATTATAATAATTGCTATTTCTTAATGGCATCTTAAATTACTTTCTGATTTAAGCACTAAAACTCAAATGTATTTTGTGTTTCTACAAGCAGAACTTTCCTGTGAAGCGAAGCGGTGTAAAGCGAAAAAACTATTGTCATTTAACGGTGTTTACAGATCTTCAAATAATTCATTAGATTATGCACTACTTCTAAAATTTAAAATGACTGAAAGAGTTGTATCATAAACATACAGTGCATATAAATAAAAATAACATATTTTTGCGTTCTACGGGTTCGTGGATTTGGAGTGATTGATGACAACACTTGATGAAGAATCAGAACACAATTTATTCGTCAGTATTACACAGGAGAGTTCCAAAGACTCGTTTATAGCCGTCAAAAACTACGATAAACACGCTGAAACAATCAGCAACACAGCCTTCAAGCTGCACTAAATTACAGCTCCCAACTCGACTCGGTCGCTCTCAAGCTAATCTCTGAACTCAAAGCACTATTACTGAACTAACATACTCTTGATACTCTCACGATACACTGCTACTCCGCATACGTGAAGTATAGCTTTTGATCTGCGTTCGAGAACATTGTGGGGAAAACCGATAAGAATTTGTTTTAGAATGTTCTCACTTCGTCTATGTTCTATCACCAAATGGGCGATTTCACCCCAAATCTTGCAACCCTGCCTTTCTTTGCCACTTTCTGGCAAACCTAAAACTCCTTGGCGGAGAAGCTCTCTTACCGCAGCTGGGAATTTTGCAACAATATTTACAGTGTAGGCTCATCTTCCAAAACTAAAAAGACTGCGAGTGCATTGTAGAGATGGAGGACGACAGGGAGTCTTATCCATGGTCATTCGGTAGTGGCAAATGTAATGCATACGGTGCAGGATAGTGGGGAAACAAGATTACGTATTGATATCTTTCTCGACACTTGTATTCAGCAGGTCTAGGCTTACCATACAGCCAGAATTAGCCTGGACAGTCCTGATTTTTTAGCGCTGTCCGGCGTAATACCTGGGTTTGAGAATTTTTATGACTGGCTTGGATTTCTTTTAAATTTTAAACCAATATATTTGACATCACGTGTTTAAACTGACCTTGGACGTCAGCAAGCGCTGACGTCGATGTTCATAATCCAAATGTAAGACAGTTTTCTTTTTTGCATTAAAGAAAAAATCTGGATAAAAAGAATTAATATTGGTCCAACTATAACACGTTTGTCTTATGAAACTATATAATGAAAGTTTAAGTACTTTTAAAGAGTACTGTAAGAATACTTTTAAAGAGTACTGTAAGAGTTTTATGAGTAATTAAATACATTTAATTAAATACATTTAATTACTCATAAAACTCTGTTAAAATGTTAAGGAATAAAATTTATTTATGTTCATACACTGAAATGTAGAAAAAAACTGGTACAGGCGAGCTCACGGTTATGCTGCCTATGCATATCACTGATTAATTGCATAGCACATATATAAAGTAGTAGACACTTGTGGAAACATCCTCAGAATAACAAATTTTTGCAAGCTGTGCTATTATAAATACTATATGGTCGAATAGTTGAAATCATGAGATGGGCGATAGCATTTCAGAAGTAGAGGCGAAAAGTGAAGTTTCAAATATGACCATTTTAAACAACATACTATCGCTGTAAGAATTCGGAGAAACTTCTGAGCTTACAACAAATATTTGGTTATAAAAGGACTTTGGATGAATACGGGCGGCATTAATTGATAAAAATCATTTTACGCTATAGGAATGTAATGCTTCAAGTAATATCGGAATTCAGTGTAGAGGATTTAGTAAACATCAACATGAAGTCTGGGAAATGTTCCCTCCATTATGCGGGCTACAGGAGCAGACACTCAAAGATCTCTTCTCATGAATGTATGACACAGAGCTTTGCAGCAAACATGGTATCAGAAATTTGTATACCATATGAATATCTAATATGATTTTTCTTATTTCAAACTGTTTGGGGAAGAAAGAAAGGCATTGTTCATGGTGAGAAACTCACAATTCCATGGATTCTACAGTCAACAGTAGAATTACAGACTATGGTGACTACTGGTAACCAACACATTATCTTCTTCTGCAGTCTATTACTTTAAAATAGGAATTTCAAAGCCGTTATGAGCCCTCATTTGAAATAGTAACTCGTGTCATCGTCATCATCGCACAGCATTTATTTTCCCCAGGTTATTAAACCTGCAGTTCAGTTCAGCCGTCATTCGCATGTTTTTCACGAAGCGGGATATGCTA